TTGAACCAATCAGTTGTTCCATATCCACTTCTAACTGTTGCTTCCTGTCCCACATATAGATTTCTCAGGAGATGGATAAGATGGTCAGGCACTCCCATTTCTTTAAGAACTTGCCAAAGTTTGCTGTGGTCCACACAGTCAAAGGCTTTTGCATAGTCAGTGAAGCAGAAGTAGATGTTTTTCTGTCCAAATATTTCTGAAGAAGATTTCTGAAGAAGTAACCACCATATCTTACAAATAAGATAAATTATGCATTGCATGAAGCCAAGTAAGTAATTTTTTTCCTCTGAAACACTGAAGCAGTTCTGATTGTTTTCATTCACTGTTAGGTGGGTAGCTCAGGGTCAGCTACACTGTTCAAAAAAAAAAAAAAAAAAAAAAGCATTCTGCCTTAATAAGCATGCCTAAACAGCTCCTTTTGTTATGAAGGAAAAGGTGCCAACTGGCAACTGCTGAATGTGAGGAGAGGCAGTCAGACAAACAGCAACTTCTTCTGACCCACAGCAAAAAGCAGGAGAGAGGCAAGTCTCAGCAGGGAACCCCCTGGAGTCCTCTGCCCTATAGTGCCTTCTCTTTCCTGTGTGTGTGTTCAAGCCCATCATGGAAGTTCGAAAACACGTCAGCAACCTCAAAAAGAAGCTCATGAAAACATCAGGCTTTATATCTGTGATTAAGAGGCTGTCTCCTTTGGAAACCGCATGGCATTCCTCACATCAAGACTGTTGCTTGTGTTAAACACTCCTTGACAAGGTGATGACCCAACACAACCATTCTCATTCATTCTCATTCATTCTTAGAAACCATTGCAAATAAGGAATGGAAATTGCAAATTAAGCTTTGGGTCACCACAAAAATACATGTTTATCTCCAGAGCAGTCTTTTCGGCAACAGTGATTTCAAACTTAGGTCCTCAGATGTTTCTCAAATCTTACTGGCCTTCAACTTCCATTTCAGCAAATGAAGCAAAATTAAAATCAGCAGGAGATAGGTGTGGGTAGTGGACTGGTAGCTGTAGTCCAAAATCTACTAAAACTCTCCTTAGAATGTTTAGGAGAGTAAAAAGGTATTCATCTGGCATCAAAAAGAACCATAATGTAGACACCAAGCAAGAATCTCCTGGGAGGGCATTCCATAGAGAGGTTACCCTCTGTGCGAAGGCCCCCTCTCTTGTAGCCACATGCCTCACCTCATCTACTGAAGCCATCTTACATAGGAGTTCCATTGGTGACCTCATGGTCTGGGTACATTAAGTATGGGAGGAGACACCCCCTCAGGTAACTTGAACTTTAAAGGGTCAAAACAGCACATTGAGTTGGGTGGAAAACTGTTCTGAGATCATGCACAGATTTTAAAGCACCAGCATATTATGACTATGTCCAGATTCTTTGGTTACAATCCAACAATACATAGGGACCAACACACCACTGCTCTACAAGATAACCTAGCCCGCTGGCTAGCCCATTGCTTTGTTTTGGCTTAAGGAATGATCAAGGAGGCTACTTCCTGTGGCAGTAATATCTGGCATACATATAAATGAGAAAGGAGCCAAGGTGGGATTCACCCCACAATTATTTTTGAGTCACCCAAATCATGCACCCAAATAACTAGGAGAGTGACCAGGCAGTTTGTTATGGAAGTCAGAATTGCATCTGGCTCAATTTAGGCATAAGATGCTATCAAGGCCTGTAGTGCCAATCCCAATAATGGTCAGCCGTGGGATAACATTAATAAGAAATAGGGATGGTGGTGATCCATCTGAAACTAAATTTTGGGTGACCACCAATTTAAAAAAACAACAGGAAAGTGTCCTCCACAATATGTCACAGCATCATATGCAGTCCAGTACTTTGTTGGATTGCAAACCACTGCCAACCATTCTAAGCTGACTGAGAAGCAAAACTGCTACTGTATTTAAAAGTGAGTAATGAACTGCATGTTTGCGCCCATCTCTAAGCTTTTTAGGCAATCATTAATGATGCCGTAAAACTGGAAGCGTGTCTCTCCACGAATGATAAAAGGGGAAGAATTTCTCCTTGAGTTTGCAGGCACCAGGTTCAGCTGAATCCTTGATTTAAATGCAAGATCTGACAGATGTTTGTCCAATTTGCTCTTGAATGTCTTCAGCGTTGGAAGGCTCACCACCTCCCAAGGTAGTTGGTTCCACTCCAAGAACAGGTGGGTTGCCCAAGGTCGTTGGGAACCACTGTTTTAGGCCATCACTAATGATGCAGTGAAACTAGAACGGTGTCTCTCCACTAACGATACAGCAAAAGTGGAAGAATTTCTCTGTGAGACCAGCTGAATACCTAATTTAAATGCAAGATGCCTTTCAGAGTGTGGACGCCATGCCCATGATTTTGATGTAGAGAGAGAAATGAGTAAGAAATATACAGCTTGAGCCAGGGCTTAGTGAAATTATTTCTTGGACTACAATTCTCAAATTTCCCGAACCTGCAAGAATATTGTTTATGTGTCACACCTGATGCTTCAGTTTGATGCAGGATGCGTATGTTTAAACCTTTCATCACTGAATAGACTATAGCTTGGAAAAGGTGTGGGTTTTTTGTTTGTTTTTCTTTTTGGTTTGACAACAAGGGCCACAATCCCCCAGCCACCACAGCTATCTTACGGGAAGCATTCCACCTTCCCACTGCCAATAATTTTACTATTTTACAGGAACCAGGGAAACTCCATTTATTATAAAAGCTGGAATGCTAATATCACAAGACCTCTGTGGATAGTGAAGAAAATGAGACCAAATGTTCTTGACCATTTTAAGTATGGTACTAAAAACGACACACAAACGTGTATTTCAGCATAATATTAATAATAATTTAATCAACATACAAAATGTGTACAAAAATATTTTAACAGTGTTCACCATTATTTCTCAATAAATAAATACATAAATAAGGGCATACATTTTATCAAGTACAAAATGTAATACTTCGAAATGCCATTTCTCCTTCAAGAATACTTAAGTTTGAAACAACCAAAGCAATTCGTTTAAAAATATTTAAATAAATACTTTCCCCAACTTAAATATGACCGTTTATAAATTCTAACAAATAGAAAAGTATGTCAGGTATAATAAATATACATGTGACCATGGTAAGAGAAAAATAATAATTTAGGAAATCTCACAAATTGAAAACAATATAAAATTTTAAAAAGCTATTTCCCTTCCCTATCATTGTCAGCACAGTGTACCTGCTTCTTTCTTTCTGTTCCCCATCCTGCAAACTTCACAGTAGCTCTACAATGAAGATTAAGCTAAGGATTAGTGATTAGCCAAAATTAATTGGGTTACTCTCATGGCTGAACAGGGATTTGAGCCTGGATTTTCTGAAACTGGCATTCTAACCACTGCTGACTCACAACAGGTAGCATTGAAGCTGGCTCTGATTCATAGCCCTCTGGATGCAACTGTACTAGTTTGCCCGTGCATGCCCCAAGGGAGCAGATCCGTCGCCAATTCACTTTGCTGTCACGGCTGCACCTTCGTTTCAGGCGTTTGTTGCAATTTCCTTCATTTCCCATCACATCTTTCTTCACACTTTCCTCAAATAGATTTTTCAACACATATGTGACATATCCTTAGAAAATCTTTCTAGCAATGCAGTTATACATTGGGTTATAGAAGTGTTCTGTCTTGAAAATGGCTCAGTTTCTTTCAATAAAGAGATTCTTGAAGCGTTCCTTCTTATTGAGATTAGATGTTGTCTTCAGCACTGGAATAAATTAAATCAGGAAGAGATTAGCAACAAAACGTTGACAAGAATTACTCAGAATGGAATAAGCTACACAATTTTACAAAAACTTGGTAGCATTAAAGGTCTGATTCAGTTTCTGGGGCAAGGTGAGAGATTGACTTCTGTTCACTTATGTGGTCTCCTAACTCTATGTTCAGGTTTCAAAGTCATCTAGTCAATTTCAGAGAGATCAAAACCAGTTCTTTTGCCAAATGTACCTTATAGGGCTCTTTAGGCACATGATATCTCTGTAAACAATGTTCATAGCAGTTAGGAAAGGTTTTTAAAATCTCCACTTTTGTTTATGACTCTTTGGCCTGTTGGAGTACTGGTGATACATTCGGGTAAAGCATGGGCAGGGGACTCAGTGAGGTGATGGGACACAATTCAGTTCTCAGGCTCAAGGTTTACTTAAAGGAAAACAGAAGCTTCAGCCCTGAGCAGATCTAGCTGGAAGTAGGTCCCATGAAACTCAGTGGAGCTTACATCTGAATAGATACAGGTATATATATAAGATCACACTCTGAAGTTGGGAAGAGTTGAGTATGACAACTTACTTCTTGAGTATGGCCTTGATGATCACCTTCACCCAGTTCTTGGTGGGGTCCAAGCATATCTGTCGGCCGTCCTTAAGAGTAGCGCTGCAATTAAAATAAATCAGAAGAGTTAGACATCACTTTTGCAGGCAGTTGCTATTTCCTAATAATAATCATCAATTTGACTGTTCAGTCAAATTTGGGAACCCTTTTCAGGGTTTTCCAGCTGAGGAATGCTAAGAGAGGGTTCAAAAAGGGTACTTACATAACTTCAACATTGCTGCAGTGGGGCCCACTTTGGGTCAGCGTAACATCCTGGATTTTAGAAGGAGGGATGAAAGTGGCGTGAGTGCTTATACACTGGCACCGAAGCTCACTTCCGAACCGAGCCAGGGGGGTGGCTATAAAGGAACAGAAGAATAGAAATTGGCTTAAATAGAATAATACTCCAACAATCGAATGCATATTAATATTTAAAATCTCATTAGAAACAATTTTCCAAAAACCTCTTTAAACTGGCCTTCAGGCCCAATTCAGAGTCATTCAGAAAGGGCTGTAAAAATGCTGTAAAATTAGTTATTCTTTTCCATGTGGTCTAATCCATTATAAACCACTGTGGGAATGAGATTAATTTTAGTCTACTGTGATGCTATTCAACAGATCTACGGAAGGTGGGGGGAAAATAACTCAAACAATCTACATCTGGATCTGGATGAGTTGTTTTTCTGAATGAGGATAAAGTCCACCTGGCATACATTCTGTTTTGAAGAATAGCTGGTGAAGAATGATGATGTCCCTTCCCTCTCAACTGTTTGTAGCACTCAGTGCTCAGGGGTAGCCTGCTATGGAACCTGGAGGTTCCATTTAGTTGTCATTTCTAACAGCTGTTGATAGATGTATTCTCCAAGAACTAGTTTAAAGCTTCCGTAAAGACGTATTTGTGTGTACCTAATATGCTGAGCACAAACCAAGAACGACACACGAATACAAGAAAAGGATTGAAATCCTTTCTGTATATTTTCCACAAGGGGTCAGCAGAATTTTGAAGTTCTAGTTCTACAGCAATCAGAACAGCATTTACTGTACAGCTTTCAGAACATGAGCCAAAAGAACAGCAGGGACATTTTTCTTCTGAACAATATGCAATTATTATCATAATTTCAGTGTGGCATTTGCATTGGTGGCTTCAGCCTTGAGCACAATCATGCAGAGACCGCATATCAGTTTCAACAGAAAGGTATCCCTCAGATGCAAAGATGAGACCAAGTTTGGAGTGAAGCATTTGCCTACCTTCTGTCAGAGCAGCGGAGACCAGAAAAAGTGCGAGGAGGGTGACGACCATCTTGGTGTTCATAGTGAGGCGAGCAATGTTTTTCTTGGCTGTGGTCCTGAGAAGCAAGATGCTTGTTCTCCAGAGAAGGGTTGTGCTTGACTGAGCTCCAGAGGTTCTCGTGCTTAAATACCATCTTGCCCTAACGTAGCATGTCAGAGGAAATTCCCAGAGCGAGCAAGATATTATCACAGAATGAGTCATCGGGAAATCTTGTGGCAATGTCCTCTGTGATTACACTGTGGTTTCTTAGGGTGCTGTTCAACACTTCCTAATTTATTAATTGCTTATAATAAATTGATAATCATTTTTGAATTTTTAAGAGGGGCTATATCTCCCTTTATCTAAAGCAGACCATGGAAATCTCTCAGGGGAGAGGAAGAGCGCCCAACCCAATTTATGATTCCACAACACTTTTATTTAAACCATTTTTTACCATCGTTGGAAAAAATACACAATAGTCAACACTTCCTAATTTATTAATTGCTTATAATAAATTGATAATCATTTTTGAATTTTTAAGAGGGGCTATATCTCCCTTTATCTAAAGCAGACCATGGAAATCTCTCAGGGGAGAGGAAGAGCGCCCAACCCAATTTATGATTCCACAACACTTTTATTTAAACCATTTTTTACCATCGTTGGAAAAAATACACAATAGAACTGAGCTCCAGAGGTTCTCGTGCTTATATAATGCCTTTGCCTAAAGTAGACTTTCAAAGGAAATTCAATAGAAAAAGGAAAACACGATCACAGATTGAGTAATCAAGAAATCTTAGGGCAAGTTCCTCTGTTTCACACTTCCTAATTCCTAATTCATCAGCACAATTTATGGTTCCATGAACATTTTTAAAAGCTTTTATTGACAATCCAAGTACCCAGACAAACCCAAGTACCCATACAAACCCCCGTTTAAAGCCAGACCAGACTCCAACAAAGGAATCAATACTTAATGGAATTGTCTTTTTAAACCATTTTTTACCATCGTTGGAAAAAATACACAATAGAAGAGATTATGATTTAAGACTTACAGTCCAATAACCCATACAGCCCCATAAACAACAATTAATTTACCTCTATGAGTAACATCAAATATTCCTATAATGCATGCATTCTGTTATGTTTAAAAGATACTACACCAGTGTTCCAGCTGACTTTCCAGAACGTCATTCTCCCGTTTAAAGCCAGACCAGAATCCAACAAAGGAAATCAACACTTAATGGGAATTATCTTCATTTATTTCACCTCTAAACAATCTAATGTGAGTAGTCAATTTCTGCATCCATATTACAACTCTTTACCCTATCCAAATATCTCAAAAAGAGAGTCCTTGAACATTTTTTTCGAACTCTAGCAATTCCAGTTCTCATAGCCCCTACACAGATTGCCACCAAATTCTTAGGAGGAGTTCAATTCTCACTGAATCTCAGTGAATAATGAGAACAATATCAAGGTTTTATTAGGGATTAATTTTGGCATGTTAATTTGATCATTCATTCTATTACTTTGTGTCAGAATAATTTGACCTTTGGACAGAACATCCATATATATTCCAATGATCCTTTTGAGCCACAATTTCTCCAACATATCTGACATCTTCTCATTGATTTTATGAGGTTTTATGGGGCATTTTTAAAGGGGATGGTTTTTTTCACCTGAAGAAGTCACTCACTTTTCTCACCTGTAGCTCATTGAAATTTCTAAGGGGAGCGGAAGGGCCACAATCACACTTTATGCTTCCACAACCAATTGGATAGTCTGTTTCTATGTTTGAATGCAAAATGTTACAAGACAGAGAATTATTCAAAGTATCCATGGTTTAATCTAATCCTCCCCAAAACATCTTACTCTTAGGATCAGCACAATTTATGGTTCCATAAGCATTTTTAAAGTGATTATGATACAAGATCTATAACCCAACTCCCCGTACAAACCCATACGCCACAATTAATTTACCTCTATGGATAACATCACCCATTCCTATAGGCCATTAATACATTGAGTTGAGTTTAAAAGACAGCGGATCAAGAAGAGGAAGGGCCCCCATCACAATTTATGCTCACACAACCTAATCTAATCCTCCCCAAAATATCTCACTCCTAGGAGCAGCACAACTTATGGTTCCATGAGCATTTTAAAAGGTTTTATTGACAATCCTTGGGAAAAAAAACAAACACAATGAAAGTGATTATAATACAAGATTTATAACCCAACTCCCCGTACAAACCCATACTCCACAATTAATTTATCTCTATGGATAACATCACCCATTCCTTTCTTGTCCAGCAAACTACACCAAACATTTGTCTATGCCACCCGTGACTTTCTGGAAGAGGTGCTATAGACAGGATACACTGCGGGCCCAGATGAGATAACTGCAAACACACCCAACCCCCAATAAACACACAATGGCTTTCAGTTGATATTCTAATACTGTACTTGAGAAAGAGTATAAATTGGACATGACTTGGATTGGCTGCTGCAGAAATTATTGGCACAGCATTAAGAGTAAATCCCTGCATTGAATAACTTGTGTGCCAACCAATGCCCACCTTCCCCAGACCAATGCTGGGTTAGTCAAGGGCTGGTGACCAGAGTGGGACATGTCCCCGGGTGCAAGACCATGAGGTGGGAGCCTCCTTGATACCAGCTTTTCTGGAGGTGAGAGCTGCATTCACCCCCCTGAGCTGCTCCCCATCACCCACCCCACCTCACTTCTTGATCTTCCTGAGAAGAGGTTAATGTATGGGATAGATCCAAATGCCTTTTTTTCTCACTGAGGTTCTGCTCCGATACTCAAGGCTGGCCACCACTACAAACAATCAAACTGAGACAAACAATCTCCACCTATTCACCACCTATTCAAGTGAATGTTGGAAATATCATTAAAAAAACCTGGAACCTATTATCACCTCTGGTGGACTTGTGATAAAGCAAAAAACTTTTGGAACAAAATACATACATGGCTTGTTAAAATAATTTAAAAGCATGTAGACTTTAGGCCAGAGCTCCTTCTGTTAGGTAGAATACCAGAAAGTGTTGATAAACAAAATGTATATTTAATATTGCATATTTTAACAGCCGCGAGGATTATATATGCACAGTACTGGAAAAAGGAACACCTACAAATCAAGAAATAATTAAAAAGATACTGGACTACACCAAAATGGATAGACTAACAGTGAAAAATCAAAGGAAAAGAAGATACAATTATCAAACATGGGACTTGTTCTATCAATGGTTAGAAGGACGTTGTATAGATTATGAGCGTAATGTGTATGGTAGTTGTTTTAACAAATGAATATAAGCTGTACTCAGGTGGCACAATGTTAAATCAACATGGATGGATTTTATATAATAAAAAAAAAAATCTCCACCTATTCACCACCTGATCAGCCTTGTCTGATCTACCTTCCTGTGCATCATTAGCTCTCTACCAGGCTTGCAGAGCACCCAGGGAAAAAGAGGAAGTTGGCAGCTGGTCTCCCATGTTTTGGGGATTCACTGGGCTTCAATCAGGACCCCAGGTCTTGCTTCAGTTGACTCTGGCTTTCTCCATTAGAATTTTTTCTCTCTCTCTTTGTCTGTCTATAAAACAGCTCTGTCCAAAGATCATCTTTTTCTCTTACAGGCAGGAAGCAAAATAATTCGCCTTTTTTGCACAAATGTCTAGTGGCACAGTGTTGCCAGCAACAGTTCCAGCAGTGAGTTTGGTGGCACCATTTTTCCAGTAGCTGTACTTTCCCCAAATTATATGGGGAGTGCAGGGGCCACCCACCCACACAAAAGTAACAGAAAGGAGCAACAAAAACAGCTTTGGGCAGGAGAGTCAGTTGTGGCCCTCAGGCCTAATGTCTACCACACTGTATATTCACATTCCACGCATTATCAATCATGGAGCATACTCTTTGGAAATGGCATGTAAGAATTTCTTGGACACATTTTATAATAATTGTTTGGCTTCTTTGTATGAGAGTTGAAAGCATGGAGGGAAGATGGGTATGAACTGAAAACCCACCTCTAGTGGTCTCACTTGGTCACTCCCCTGATCTTCCTATGTGGAAGGAGATCTGAATGCTGTTGGTTCTGTCTGTCTTTGCCTGAAAACTACTAGAAGCCAGCCCTGCATAGAAGGGTGAAGTTAGAAAATCTGCTTTCTTGAGTTTCCCAGTTGCAAGACTGTTTCTGCTTTATGGTCAAGCAGAAGCTCCCTTAAGACCTCCCTGTTTAACAGGATGACATTTAGGCCTGAGGGAATGGAGATAAGAACTTTGAGGGTTAGGCTTCTGTAGGCAGCTGTGCTGTCCATCCACACTTGTAGTTCTCATGTTTGCAAGGATAGTAACTTCCTGGGGTTCAGATGTTTGTTAGAAAGTTCTTTGTGTACAATTATTTTATTTTTAACAACTAATTTTATTAACAGCATAGAAGGGTTGCCACTGAAGATCTATGAGTTCCTGAAGTCACTATTCTTCAGATATAAGATTTTGAAAATTACATGTTATATGGTCAGTTTTGGCATAAATTCTTGGTCCTCTGGGTTAATCTTATATACATGTTAATATTAAGATTTGGAGTGCCTTTTAAGCTGTTTTTACATCTGTGAGGAAACCCACCCATTCTGAGGCCCACTCAAAATGTGATGTTACTGATCTGGATATTACAATATTTATTTTTTACTTATTTATTTGATTTGATTTATATCCTGCCCATCTGGTCTGGTCGACCACTCTGGGCGGCTTCCAATAAGGCTTTCCAATAACAAAAGTTCATATCCATCTATGTACAAAAAGTTACATATAAAGTTATACAATTTTCTTTTGACAGTTCCCATCTGAAACAAACTGCCATATGGAGTATTTTTTAAAAAGCAGCTGAAATTTACAGTTACATTTAAATATGAAATTGTTCCTTTTTATATAGTCGACCACTCTGGGCGGCTTCCAATGAGGCTTTCCAATAAAAAAAGTTCATGTCCATCTATGTACAAAATGTTACATATAAAGTTACACATTTTTCTTTTGACAGTTCCCATCTGAAACACACTGCCATATGGAGTATTTTTTTTTAAAAGCAGCTGAAATTTACAGTTACGTTTAAATATGAAATTGTTCCTT